CCCATCGTGTTCAGCTGCTCAGACACGTGGATCATTTAGTTCTGCTCGAGGGTGGCCGCATCTCTGTCCAGGGGCACTATGATGCCCTGAGGAAGCTTATTAGATTCAGGATGTCGGTGGCCAATGATGCGGAGGTGGCCAAATTGCGGGCCATGCGAACGGATAGTGTCTACGAGGAGCCCGAGCCAAGGAAATCCCTGTCCCAGGAGGAGCATCTCGATCGGCACGAGCTGGAGCAGCAGTTCAAGGAGCAGCAGCAAATTGGATCTGTTAAGCTGCACTCCTACAAGGAGTACTTCAAGGTGCTGGGACATCCTTTGGTGGTGGTGCTCATCCTGCTGATGTTCCTCGTGGCCCGTTCCTCCGAGGCAACCATGGATATTTTCCTTTCCAAGTGGTTAGTGGTGTCCAATGCAGTTGTTTTCGACTTAAATGACTAACCTAGTTGGGAGATGAGTCAGTCTGATTTATAGATGGCGACGTGGTTAATAGCACTACATGATAAAAGCGTGTTCCACTTGTTGAGTGCAATAAATATTGACCGAATTTCCGCACAGATGGAGCACTGTTCACTATCTCGCCGCCACATGTTATATGGTTATATTTTAGTATCAGAAAGGGAACATATGAAGTCTGGGTTCTTCAACACCCATACTGATTTAATGTTCAATGGACTCTTTGGGGAATACCTTGGAATACCTATCTTGTAATCAGAGCTAAAGATAAGATGTTGTATAGACAATATGGTTTTTATAATGCAAGGGATGGAGCTATAAAACAGAATTTCTATACTTCTGCAGGGCAACTTGGGAGGAAACGGAGCCCAATCAGCACGAGCCCATTCCGGAGTACCATAGAACCCGTCTGCGCATGATGATCCTGTACACGTTCCTCATCCTGTGCACCCTCATATTCTACGTGCTCCGCACCTTTGGCTTCTTCATGATGACCCTGCGGATATCGCTGCGCATCCACGACCAACTCTTCCAAGGAGTCATCCGAGCCTTCATGCACTTCTTCACGCTGGCCACCTCCGGCCGGATTTTGAATCGTTTCTCCAGCGACATTCTGGCCATCGATGTCAATCTGCCGCAGGCTCTGATGGACTCCATTGAATTCTCTGTGAATGCTCTGGCGGTGCTCGCGGTGGTCAGCACGGCAAACATTTGGCTCCTCATTCCGGCCATCGTGGTGGTGGTCCTGTTGTACGGCTGTAGGTGTCTGTATATAGGAGCTAGCCGCAGTTTGAAGCGCATAGAAACTATATGTGAGTATGCCTGGCATGCTTTTGAAGTCTAGTGACCAACCCAATCCTTTCCAGCTCGCAGTCCCATCTACTCTCACACAAATGCCACCTTCAAGGGACTGGCCACCATACGTGCTCTGAATGGAACCAAGTACATGGAGCGAGACTTCCACTACTACCAGAACGAGAACACCTCTGCCTTGTACCTCCATGTGAGCATTAATCGGGCCTTCGCCTTCTGGACGGACCTCATCTGCGTACTATACATCCTGGCGGTGACATTCAGCTTTCTGCTCTTCGACAAGCACAGAGGATACTACAGCGGCGATGTGGGTCTGGCCATCACACAGTCCATGAAGCTGGTGCTGATGTGCCAGGCGGGAATGCGGCAAACCGTGGAGCTGGAGAACATGATGACCAGCGTGGAGCGGGTGATGGAGTATGTGAATATACCTTCGGAACCTGCCTACGAAACGGAGGAGTCCGTCCATCTGCCGAAGCACTGGCCCAGTGGAGGACAACTGAATTTCAGGGATCTGCGGCTGCGGTACAGTAATCGCGGGCCCTACATCCTCAAAGGTCTCACCTTCACCATCCGTGGCGAGGAGAAGATCGGTATAGTGGGACACACGGCGGCCGGAAAGTCATCCATCGTGCATGCGCTCTTTCGGTTGGCTCACATCGATGGACACATCAGCATCGATGGCTTTGAGACATCCCAGCTGGGCCTGCACGATCTGAGACGAAGGATCTCGATCATACCGCAGGATCCGGTGCTCTTCTCGGGCTCCCTCCGCTTCAACCTCGATCCCTTCGAGGAGAAGACGGACGAGGAACTGTGGCTGGCCCTGGAGGCCGTCAAGCTCAAGGAGTTCGTATCGAATCTGAAGGAGGGCATCAACTGCAGGCTCCACGACTGCGGAGCCAACTTCAGCATGGGCCAGAGGCAGCTGGTCTGCCTGGCCAGAGCCCTCCTGCGCCGGAACAAAATACTCATCATGGACGAGGCCACGGCCAACGTGGATCCCGAGTAAGTCTGTTCAAGATTCGCCATTAAAGCGAATTCATTAGTGAAATCTGTAACATTTCGAAAGTGAAGCTACGCGGACTGAAAGAAAATTTGAGGCAAAACGCTCAAAATTTGATTGATATAATAATTCCGACGGTTTGCCTCCGTTTGAAAGATCAAAACGAGCGGCGTCACTAGTGACAGCCGAAATCAAAATCAATCACTTTGGCTTCAAAATCAGCTGATGTAGATCAATGATCTCTACAATTTGTCAATGAAGTTGGAAATTTGCATTGAAAACGACGCAAAAATGTGGTGCTTACCCTGTTCTTTCTGCGTGACACTTGAAAACGTCTTCCTGATAAGTCCAGGATGCTTAAAATATTAGTGATTTGGTAGTATTTTGACTCAACTTTTAATGAGTAGAGAGTTTATTTACCCCAAAGTTGAATGAAGAGCAATAGTATGTTGTACCAAAAACTTTTAATTATAATTATACCCGTTACTCGTAGAGTAAAAGGGTATACTAGATTCGTTGAAAAGTATGTAACAGGCAGAAATTTATTTTAGAAATTTAGAAATTTATTTTTTTTTTTTTTTTTTTTTTTTTTTTTTTGTAATTTTTCTGATGTATTATGTTGTAGAAATTCAAAAAAGTTCAAAAATGGCCGAAGGCTGAAGTTCAAGACTCCATAACTCAACTGATCTTAATCGGATTTTGAAGTGGCATACCTCTAAATGTTTGTAAAGCAATTCTCTAAAAATCTGCATTCAAATTTAGAAATTTATTTTTTTTTTATTTTTTTGTAATTTTTCTGATGTATTATAGTAGAAATTCAAAAAAAGTTCAAAAATGGCCGAAGGCTGAAGTTCAAGACTCCATAACTCAACTGATCTTAATCGGATTTTGAAGTGGCATACCTCTAAATGTTTGTAAAGCAATTCTCTTAAAATCTGCATTCAAATTTAGAAATTTATTTTTTTTTGATTTTTTTGTAATTTTTCTGATGTCTGATGTTGTAGAAATTCAAAAAAGTTCAAAAATGGCCGAAGGCTGAAGTTCAAGACTCCATAACTCAACTGATCGTAATCGGATTTTGAAGTGGCATACCTCTAAATGTTTGTAAAGCAATTCTCTAAAAATCTGCATTCAAATTTAGAAATTTATTTTTTTTTTATTTTTTTGTAATTTTTCTGATGTCTGATGTTGTAGAAATTCAAAAAAGTTCAAAAATGGCCGAAGGCTGAAGTTCAAGACTCCATAACTCAACTGATCTTAATCGGATTTTGAAGTGGCATACCTCTAAATGTTTGTAAAGCAATTCTCTAAAAATCTGCATTAAAATTTAGAAATTTATTTTTTTTTGATTTTTTTGTAATTTTTCTGATGTATTATTGTAGAAATTCAAAAAAGTTCAAAAATGGCTGAAGTTCAAGACTCCATAACTCAACTAATCTTAATCGGATTTTGAAGTGGCATACCTCTAAATGTTTGTAAAGCAATTCTCTAAAAATCTGCATTCAAATTTAGAAATTTATTTTTTTTTGATTTTTTTGTAATTTTTCTGATGTATTATTGTAGAAATTCAAAAAAAGTTCAAAAATGGCCGAAGGCTGAAGTTCAAGACTCCATAACTCAACTTATCTTAATCGGATTTTGAAGTGGCATACCTCTAAATGTTTGTAAAGCAATTCTCTAAAAATCTGCATTCAAATTTAGAAATTTATTTTTTTTTGATTTTTTTGTAATTTTTCTGATGTATTATTGTAGAAATTCAAAAAGTTCAAAAATGGCCGAAGGCTGAAGTTCAAGACTCCATAACTCAACTGATCTTAATCCGATTTTGAAGTGGCATACCTCTAAATGTTTGTAAAGCAATTCTCTAAAAATCTGCATTAAAATTTAGAAATTTATTTTTTTTTGATTTTTTTGTAATTTTTCTGATGTATTATTGTAGAAATTCAAAAAAGTTCAAAAATGGCCGAAGGCTGAAGTTCAAGACTCCATAACTCAACTGATCTTAATCGGATTTTGAAGTGGCATACCTCTAAATGTTTCTGGCGCAATTCTCTAAAAATCTGCATTCAAATTTAGAAATTTATTTTTTTTTGATTTTTTTGTAATTTTTCTGATATATTATGTTGTAGAAATTCAAAAATAGCCGAAGGCTGAAGTTCTATACTCCATAACTCAACTGATCTTAATCGGATTTTGAAGTGGCATACCTCTAAATGTTTCTGCCTCAATTCTCTAAAAATCTGGATTTTTTGAAATTTTTTGTTTGCACTTCCATTAGCTTTAGTAACGGGTATCTGATAGTCGGGGAACTCGACTATAGTATTCTATCTTGTTTTACGTTCCTATTTATCCCCTGCAGGACCGACAATCTCATCCAGGAGGCGATCCACACCAAGTTCGCCCACTGCACCGTGCTGACCATCGCCCACCGGCTGCACACCGTGATGGACAACGACCGGGTGATGGTGGTGGACATGGGTCGGGTGGTGGAGCTGGGGCATCCGCACGAACTGCTGCACAACCGGCACGGCTACCTGCACCGCTTTGTGGAGAAGACGGGCGTGGGAACGGCGCAGCACCTGCGCCACCTGGCGGAGCAGAGCTACCGGAAGAGGGTGCTGGGCAGGAAGTCGGAGGACCAGGGATCCGTGCTGGATCTGGGCTACAAGGGGACGACGCTGTGAAAGACTGCTGGGGGAATCAATTGGTACACCAGGGTGGAGTGGTTTTCGTTCGTTAGGTATGGTAATATAGACTTTATTATAGTGAACTGATCTTTAAATATAGTTATATATGTATATACTTTATATGTAGTTCATAATATACTCGATCGTTTGCCTTCTGGAATTTGAAAAAGCAATTTGTCTTGTAGGTTAAGATTACATTACCATCGTCTATATTTTGCTACTCGTACTGTCTGGCTTTGATTCGCTCTCTATAACTACGATCCTTTCTAGTATCCTTTTGGTTTTGGATTCGGTTTTGGTTTTTGTTTTTGTTTCGGTTTTGGTTTCTTTGTAGTTACAAGTCACATGAAAATCGAAATGTTGAACTCTATAAGTTGCTTCTCTTCTAGGCTTAAAGATTTAGGTTGACTCTTCATTACTTTCGATTTAGTTTCGATTTGTATGGCTTAGATGTGCGATAATGGCGTTTGATTTCTAGATGTATAATACGAGTATTAGCATTATTACAAGATTTCGATTTCGATTTCGCTTCTTATATAAAATTTTTGTTTTCCTTGGTAGAGTGTAAATGAATTATCGCATTCGGTTTGGTAGCAGTTTTCCACGAAACTTTAATACAAGTTCATATATAGTTGGATGTAGTTGTGTATACGAGTAATGTAAATATTAAAGTAAATAAAGCATATTCATGTATGTATATAATTGGTTTTAAAATATTCTCCTCATACGCTCGCCATTGGTTTAGCTTATTTAAAATTCGCTTAAAGTCTGCCTTCAACAATATTTGATGTAAATAGAAAAATCAGTGATTCATTTATTTGTATTCTCTTTATAATTAGTTGTAATATACTCTAGTTCTTTGGTGCTTAGATGTAAGTGTCTTGCGGTTGATAAAACAAAGTTAAACCTTGAAATTCTTCCCCAAATTCCAAAGCCTAAATTGTTTTCTGAATGCGCCCTTTAGAATGTAAATAAGTTACTAGATTTGGTTGTCCTAGAAATAAGATTGTTTGTTTGCTCGTTTTGTTTTAAGAAAAATTCGATGCTTTAATAAAATTGTTTTCGTTTTTTTTTTTTGTATTTTCCGTAAGTTTTCTCCTCGTCACTCTAATCGTAATTGTTTAGCTAGAAGTTCTCAAGCAACTTTAAGATTTGTTCGCTCTACGTTTATTTGTATCTTGTATTCATTTGGTATTCTCACAGTTAAGCTTCTTTGATTGAGCACAAAAGCAAATGAGAATCGTCTGTTTTTGGGGGGCAACAACTAAACCTTATCAATATCGATTTCTATTCCTACTATGGCTATAATCTGGAGATCAGCAGCCTACCATTCGGCCTACGCATTGGACAGACCCGGAAATCTTCCCCTACTTCCGGCTAGCCCAGTGCACTGCCCGAAAATCCTCGGCCCGATCTGCAATGTGCGGTGTAAGTTTTGAACTGAGTAAATCAGCAGAAAGTCTACGTTGCTTAAAAGTTTGAACTCAGGCGTGAAATCAATACAGTCAACTGGAAGTCAATTTAGATTTTGGACTCTCGGCGAGCTTGTATAGTCGTTATCCTTAATATCATGTGTGAGTGTTCCCTTAAATTTGCTCAGCTAGTTGATATAAAGTATAGGTACTCCTTTACCATCCGAACCTAGATCCGTTCGGGAACGAAAAGCTAATGCCGAAACGAGGATAAGGTGTACGTGCGTGCTTCGCAATGAAACGCATATTTTGATTATAAAATATGGTCCCGAGGTTGTTAAATATTTCTTCAACTTGGTTTGTCATCGACTCTGGGTAATAACATCCATATGTGGGAGCTAGAGCGGCAATTGGATCTATAATATTAGTATAGATAAGGCGTTGTATCAGCGGTTTGCATTTGGTTTTTGCCAATTAATCGCACCTTTGGCCACGATGCAGTGCCTCCGATGGCTGGCTAAAGAACACTACGATTGAGATCATGCTCTAGTTTCCCTACGCTGTGAATTCTCTGTTTTCCTATTCTGTGTTTTAATCCTTAAAGCCTTTAACCCAAAGCTTAGTTATATAACTGCATTACAATATGTTATTTAAATTAGTAAAGTTTCCCTTATCGGTTTCATCGTTTTTGTTTCTTTGTATTTTGTATTTTGTGTTTTTTTTTGGTTGAAAAAAAGAGTAGTATGAATTTGTTATGCAAGGTTTTTTTCAATTATTTTTTTACGGTGTAAGTAATTCATTTAGCATTGTTCTGGGTGTATGTGTGTGTGTGCTTCCTTACACGCTCCATATTCATATAATAAGTATATAATTGGTTTGGTTAAAAAATTTTCATTAATTGCAAAAATGGTCTTTGTCAAAAAGAGTCGAACAATGGCCTCATGTGTAATTCGATTTCTTGTGTGTGTGTGTGTGTGTGTGGTAGCCGGGGTCACGCCCCTTTTGGGAGCGCGCCGCCTTATTATCGCGTGCATATACCGTGACTATATGTTCCTATAGTTTGTGCTGCATTTCGTGTCCTGTGTTCGTGTGTCAGAGAGTTAGCCAGTTAGTAGCCAGTTCCTGCCTACGCCATCATACTTTAGATCAAGTAGAATCGATCCTGGGCCCATACTTCCTACTTCTGACCCGGCTCGATGATCTCGACGGTAACGCTCTCGGCCACCGGATTCGTGGTGATGTTGGTGATCAGCGACTGGTCCTGCGACTGCGGCGACTGCGGCTGCTCCTTCGGCTGGTGGCCATGTGGGTGGTGCTGGCGATGGGCGGATCCGTGGCGCTCGTGGTGGACAACCTTGCCGGGAGCCACCGAGTTGCTGCGGTTGGAGCGCACCGAGGCTGCGGATGCATTGCTGCCATGTGACTCCGAATGGGATCCTGTGGGTTAGATGTCCAGGCAAAGGAATGGGATGAGTATCTGTGGGATTGCGGGCTCAGCTACGCGCTACTCGGATAACGGATAACCGGCTGAAGGGAAGTTATCGTTGGCATCACAGAACAACAGCAATGTGGTCAACGGGATCCCGACTCCGAGTTCGCAGGAGTCCTTCGTTCTACGTGGCATATGCTATAAACAGCACGCGAACGAAGGTGTTTTTCCTATAGCTTCTTATTCTTTAGATCTTATAGGAGAAAACACTTGTGCGATCGCATGCTGTACTGTAAAAATGATATATCTCAAGGAAGCCAGTTAAGGAAACTATAGATAGCCGTGCTAGAAAGGAAAGAAACCAAAGCGGAAACGGAACTCAAGAGGGATGCTGCATGGATAAGTTGGTTGGAAAAAGAGAAAGATACGATGAGGTTTTGTTTGGTACGAGTATCTACGATCGTTTATCATTGTATCTGTAGCGCATGGTGTCTGCATCTGAGTCTGTTTTTGTATCTGTGGGTGTCTTCTAGGGAGTGGTGGAAGTTGGAGCAGTAGTAGTTTTACATACAGGTTAACCGCAACTCTTGACTACAGATTAAGACTAGGGTAACAACACTTCGAGCCAACATGAACAACAACGAGAACAATGACTACGAGTACACTGGGGGAAAAGACGCCAGGCAACCAGATGAACCTATTTGATTGAATGACAAAAACGCCTGTCCTCCATTTAGACTAATTTTCCTGACTGCAGCCGACGTAATTTCCCCCAGTGTACGTATACTTTTACAACTGTTTGGACACAACTTTCGCTAGACAAGACATCAACTTTACGAGTACACTACGCAGAGGGTATACTGGAATTGCTTGGGTGTGAGTGTGGTTTGCTTTCTGGTCTGCCTACCTCTTTGGACCCTGATATGGATGCGTTTGTTTCTAGCGTTTGGGTGTGATACCTTAGCGGACACACACGGATATGCGTGAGTATCTATGTGTACAGCGGGACGGTCTAGAGCTCCGGAACCCTAGAACTTGTTGGTCCGACCACAGGCTGGAGCTGTGCCCGCCGGGCACACGTACGTTGTGGTGGTGGTGGTGGTGGCTGTGGCGGTGGCGGTGGAGATGGCGGTGTTCGTGGTGCTGGTGGCGTTGGCATGGGCCATTGGCAACTGGTGACCCGCCGAGGGCGGAGGCGTGGGCGTGGGCGAGGGCGTGGCCGAGGCAGCGTACGTGGCGGTGGCATTCGTGGCATTCGTAGCCGTGCTGGCCGTGGTCGTTGGCACGTAGGGCAGAAAGTGGCTGTGGACCAGGTTGTGCTGGCTGGCGGCACTCGGATGCTCCAGGAGTCTCGAGCAGGTGGACACATCGCTCACCCGCGAGTCACTCGACCGCGTATTGCTCTTCGAACGGATCATACGTCCTTTTTGGTTTTTGGTTTTCAGTTTTATTTGTGTTTTCAGTTTCGGTTTGTTGTTGTTCGTGTTTGTTTGTTTGTTTTTGGGGGGGAATGAGCGGTTGGATACGTTTAATATTTCGCCTTTCAGTTGGGCACGCGACATCGAGTCAGTGGGTTAAATGGGTGGGTTCAGGTGGTTTCGCGTTTTCGGTTTCGTGGGGGCACAAACTCAAACTCAAACAGGAATATAAATAACCCAAAAAATGTAATTTCAAGCAACTGTCCGCCGGGCTTAGCACACCAACAATTATCACCCAAGTGGCAGTGGCGTTGAGTAATACGCTTCTTAAACTGTCACTCAAATTGATTGAGCCCCCGAAGAGTTGTTGTTCCTGTTTGCCAGTCTTTAGGATAAGGTGGTCAGTTGGTGGTCACTATGCTACCCAGCGCACTAGTTGCATTTCAAAGTAAAAATGGTATTTAATTTGCTTTTAGAAGAACTGAAACTTCGAGTCTTACAAGTACCAATCAATGTCATATCGGAACAGTTAAAGAAAGATGGTTTAAGATGGTTGATAGAGTTATTATCCTCTGACTTTTTGTATTTTGTTTACAGAGCATTCTAAGTTTACCGATTTATTCAGATCCTTTAAACTTTGGAGGACTAGCCCATTATCCAAAAACCTTTAATAAATGTTTCTTCAAACCTCTAGACCATTGATAGCTACACACTCTCTTCTATGTTATACAATATCAATATATTTGCTGATTTCTTGCAAACTCTCATCACGTTTTTCGCGTTGATCCCCAACCCCAGTGAATTAAGTTTATTTGGGTGATTTTGTACGTATATTGTTTGGTGACTGACTGGTCAATTGGCTGACTGACTGACTGATTGATTGATTGGATAAGTAAGTTTAAGGGGTTTGCCTGCTGTTCTGTATTTTGGCTGTAGAAGAAAGTTCTGCAAGTTGTCGAGACGAAAACAAACGGAACGAACACAAAAATGGCAAGTTGAAATGGTAAAAGAGAAGAACCAAAAAGGCAACCGCGAGAGACGAGAGACCAGAGATTGGAGATTGGAGTTTGGAGGAGGTGCTGACCATCGACTGGGGGGCATGGAATACAAACCTGTCTTACCTAGCGACGGATTGGGGGAGTGGGGCCGCAGGGAGGCCATGCTGGGCTGCCGGGATGGCGCCCGCACCGACATCCTGGACCCTCGGCGCTCCTGGCCGTGGAGCAGCTTGCTGTCCCGCAGCAGGGAGACGTTCATCAGGCGAGGATTGGGCGTGTTGAAGATGGTCCGGTTCTCACGCCAGCGAGCTCTGCAAATTACGGCCATGAATTAGTCACATTTCACGGCATCCACGGATAATATTATCCGCTAAATGCGGGCTGAGCAAGCGGGAGTGTAATGGTGCACGGATATGGGGGCCATGGTTACTCCAGCTTAATGGCAATTAATGCAGAAATGCTGTTTATTAGACTGGAAATTAATTGGTGCCAGCCAGCCACAAATTAGGGAAGCTCCATCAAAGCATCGACAGGCCAATTGACCCAGTTTATTGACAAGCCAGCGAATGAGATGGTTGAACTGAGTGAAAGCAGACTTAGGGTTCTTTGATTTGCACCATAAATGGTGCTATTATTTCTAGTGAAAGCGGGAAAGACGATAAAAAGTTCATTAGGTGGAATTATTAAATGGAAAGAGGAAAATTCGCACTTGAAATATTCAAATTTGTCTAGTACATTTAGTTTTTCTGGAACTGGTCAAGTACTTTTCATGTACTTTAATTTTGAAATGGCTTTCTTGATTATGTGTGCTCTCAAGCGATTCCATATCTCAAATGGTGTGTGACTGTTGACCCAGATTGAATGCTTAAACTATTTGCGTGGGTGTAGAGGTGGGTGTGTGGGTGCGGGTGCGGGTGTGGGTGCGGGGGATGGAGATGGAGATGTTTGCATTGCAATTTACTCACTGGCTAAACAATCGCAGGACGACACAAATAATAACAAACATCAATGCCATTCCTACCAGCACGCCAATCATGGCCGGGTCGATGTAGGTCTCGGGTCCCCTCTTATCCTGGCGCCCTGCAAACAGCCGATTGGCAAAAGGACAAACAACACAGCCCCATTAACCATAAGCAGTGGCGGCTTAAGTCTACGCTCTCCTTGACCACCGACCTTTGCACTCCACGGATCCGTCCTTGCCCCAAATGGGCGACATCTCGAACCGGCAGATGCAGCGTCCATCCCGGCACTCCGTCTGGAAGTATCGCATCTCGCACTGCTCGTTGAAGAAGCAGGACTCGTTCACGGCGGCCTCTGCAGGATCAGGGGAGCGGAAAGGACACCAAACGGAATCAGTTGAGCTGACAAAAGGGTCGACATACAGTCGCAAAAAATACGTATACTAGCTTAGGCCTAAAAAGAATTCATAAAGTCATGTCTAGCTCTTAAGCAAATGGCCTTAAGAAGTAAAGCTATTGGTAAGTATAGGTAAGTATTGTAGAATTTATGATATATGCAAGAGCCTAACCCCCTAGTTAACCCCCTTGTTTCTTTCAGTGCCCCACAGCAACGGGCGATGGCCCATATCAGGAAAAATATTTCCCGGCTGTCGCGGCTGTTTGCGAATTGATTTAAGGGCTGATTGAAGTGCGATATGGCTGGGGCGGATTGACTTTCCACTCCGTCCACTTCGTCCACTCCGGTGACAAATATTATCGTGGAACAAGCACGAAGGAGGGCACGATGCGGAGGGCAGATACTCGTTTAAGGAGGAGTCGCCTCCGGAGACTTTTGCCTTCTGACAGACCTGATGGCTGTCAGCCACGTTGATGATCAATGGCCGGGAGATATTTGGCCGGGAACTACGATTGAGTCACGGCCATAAAAATAGATCTGCGGCTGTCAGCGGCTTTGGGTTCGATCCCCAGCCATAAATACGCATTCGCAGTGTCCGCCGTTCGATTTGAATTTATAGTATCGCATCTATTGTGATTATGTGAAATGTGCATTAGTTGCACTTCTCAGCAGCCCCTAATGCGTCTGCCAAGTTTCTATTTTAATTTACAAGGCCTGCATTTTCTGGGCCTGCAATCAGGAAAAGCAAGCTGGGCGTTTTTCACTTTCCTGACTCTTTTTTAATGAAAACTTGGCAGGGTGACAGCTCGGAAAATGGCTGGCAGTAATGACCCTACCTTTGCCACATTTGTCATAGTGATTGGTGACGGGCAGATCCTCGGTGCACTGGCAGGACTTCTTCTTAGGATCGCAGATGGAGCCGGGGAAGCCGCATTCCAGGGTATTATCGCACTTGTCGCCGAACTTCTTCTGCCCGCGGCTGGCATAATCTGAAATGGAATGAAAAGGATGTGGGTAAGATGTGTATATATTTCATGACGTCAATGTGACTAATCCCAGGCGTAAAATTTGTAATGAAACCGCTGCGAAAACTTTCGATTCGCCACTGTGCATATCAATAAAAAATAAAAGCTGACAACAAACTTTCTGCGAAATGCTTTCCAAATCCCCCGACGACTTGTGGGCAGATTAAAATGTAAATTCTTTAGCAGCCTTCGAGGTGTTGGTGTGTTGGTATTTCATTTCCACTTTTTACACTTTTTTTTTTTTTTGTTTTTCCCTTTTTGTTTTTCGTGTGTGTGTGCTTTTTCCCCCGAGCATTTCACGGTGCACTTGAGCCGCCCGGCTAGGAATCCTTCATTAAGTTTGAATGGAATGAAAACACTCGAGTCGGCAGTGAGTTGCGTTTGCGGCCCTTCACATCTTAATTAAGCTCTTGGGAGCAACTCCACGTATTCCGGGGATTCCGCGCCCGCCGCTCTCTGCAAAATCTCAGCCAAAGGTTGAGCCACATACTCCACATACACCTCTGCTTCTGTTGATACTCCTCATCTACGTCCCATAATTACCGGCCCCAGAAGCCAAGAGGAAGCCCAGCCCAGCCCAGTCCAAGACCAAAACCAAGACCATCAGGCAGCGGATGCGCCGACATTTAAGCCAACGGAAGTGAAAAGACAAAACAAAATGGCTGCTCATGCACAAGCGGTGCGCCATTTTCCAGTTCATGCCCATGTGCCACTATTAGTGGTATTAGTGGGTCCTTTTTTATGGTTCGGAGCCAGCTCTATTTGCCAGCGGTTTATTTTTAAATGCACTGACTTTGAATAGGGCTCTAGTTTGCGAGGGGCTGCGGAAAATGAATGCTAATGCGAATGATGGCGGGCTACTGCAGATTGCTGCACAGCTGGATACCCAAATGGAAATAGTATTCCTATTAGTGGTATGTATTAAAGGTAACTAAGTAAGCAATGTATAAATATAAATCCATATTTTAATATGCCTTAAAGGAACTAGTGATGAGCATTTACTTGGTCGTATTCCCAGTGGTATTTCCCAGTAATAAGCATTGAATGGGTCGCACAGCTGGTGAGATTTTGTCCATACCATCTGCAGCGTATTACTTATGCATTAAGACCGACCCCACATCAATGGACCCCGCGGTCCCCTGTATTTGCAGTCTGCCAAGGGGAAACCCAGATGCCGCAGCATCAGCAGTCCACAAAGCTGACAAAGTTTGTGAGGCAAAATTATAAATTATGCTGCTGATTATAATCGCTTGGTAATTCAAACCGATAAATCTAAAATTAGAATTCCAGAAGGTGACCAACGATCGTTGGTTTTCGGTAGCCACCTGGTACTTATTATGATCACTTGGGAATTCAAACAGATAAATTTAAAATTTGCAATAAAAATGTACATTTTGTATGCAACATTTCGGTAGCAACCTGCTGCTGATTATGATCGCCTGGTAATTCAAACCGATAAATCTACAATTTGCATTAAAAATTTATATTTTGTGGGCAAAATTGTGATATTTTTCGCTTTAAATTACCAGGCGAACAGGAATTCCAGAAAGTGACCAACGATTGTTTGGTTTTCGGTAGCAACCTGCTGCTGATTATGATCGCCTGGTAATTCAATCCGAAAAGTCTACAATTTGCCATAAAAATGTACATTTTGTATGCAACATTGTGAGATTTTTCGGTTTTTAATTACCAGGCGAACACGAATTGCAGAAGGTGACCAACGATCGTTTGGTTTTCGGTAGCAACTCGCTGCTGATTATAGTCGCTTGGTAATTCAAACAGATAAATCTAAAATTTGCCATAAAAATGTACATTTTGTATGCAACATTGTGAGATTTCTCGGTTTGAATTACCAGGCGAACAGGAATTCCAGAAAGTGACAAACGATTGTTTGGTTTTCGGTAGCAACTCGCTGCTGATTATAGTCGCTTGGTAATTCAAACAGATAAATCTAAAATTTGCCATAAAAATTTACATTTTGCAGGCAAAATTGTGAGATTTTTCGGATTGAATTACCAGGCGAACAGGAATTCCAGATGGTGACCAACGATCGTTTTGTTTTCGGTAGCAACCTGCTGCTGATTATGATCGCCTGGTAATTCAATCCGAAAAGTCTACAATTTGCCATAAAAATGTACATTTTGTATGCAACATTGTGAGATTTTTCGGTTTGAATTACCAGGCGAACAGGAATTCCAGAAAGTGACCAACGATTGTTTGGTTTTCGGTAGCCACCTGCTGCTGATTATGATCGCCTGGTAATTCAATCCGAAAAGTCTACAATTTGCCATAAAAATTTACATTTTGCAGGCAAAATTGTGAGATTTTTCGGATTGAATTACCAGGCGAACAGGAATTCCAGAAGGTGACCAACGATCGTTTTGTTTTCGGTAGCAACCTGCTGCTGATTATGATCGCCTGGTAATTCAATCCGAAAAGTCTACAATTTGCCATAAAAATGTACATTTTGCAGGCAAAATTGTGAGATTTTTCGGTTTGAATTACCAGGCGAACAGGAATTCCAGATGGTGACCAACGATCGTTTGGTTTTCGGTAGCAACCTGGTAGCAACCTGCTGCTGATTATGATCGCCTGGTAATTCAATCCGAAAAGTCCACAATTTGCCATAAAAATTTACATTTTGCAGGCAAAATTGTGAGATTTTTCGGTTTGAATTACCAGGCGAACAGGAATTCCAGAAGGTGACCAATGATCATTTGGTTTTCGGTAGCAACCTGGTAGCAACCTGCTGCTGATTATGATCGCCTGGTAATTCAAGCCGAAAAATCTACAAAAATTTACATTTTGTATGCAACATCGAGAGATTTTTCGGTTTGAATTACCAGGCGAACAGGAATTCCAGATGGTGACCAACGATCGTTTTGTCTTCGGTAGCAACCTGCTGCTGATTATGATCGTCTGGTAATTCAATCCGAAAAGTCCACAATTTGCCATAAAAATTTACATTTTGCAGCAAAATTGTGAGATTTTTCGGTTTGAATTACCAGGCGCACAGGAATTCCAGAAGGTGACCAACGATCGTTTGGTTTTCGGTAGCAACTCGCTGCTGATTATAGTCGCTTGGTAATTCAAACAGATAAATCTAAAATTTGCCATAAAAATGTACATTTTAATGGCAACATTGTGAGATTTTTCGGTTTTTAATTACCAGGCGAACAGGAATTCCAGAAGGTGACCAACGATCTTTTGGTTTTTGTTAGCAACCTGAGTGGAGGGCCCACATTAAACAGCCAAAGCTGCAACAGAGCCAGCATTTATAATTAACCGAACTGGGCCGAGCCATTAAAGCCAACTTTGCTTATTTCGGCACCATCATTAGGCCGCCTAGGAAAAAAAGCCATGCGAGTACATGGAAAACTTTTCACATTCCAACTAGAACATCGCAGACAGGCCATTTAAGTTTCGGATGAGAAAACTAGAAGGGATGAGTACGAGGCACGAGTCCCAGCACAGTGGCTTAAAAGCTTTTGAGCGAATGGCCCAGGAAATTGTATAAAGCATTCCTGTCTGACAGGAATAAACTTGAGAGTTTATTAAAAAGATAATAAGTCCGTCCAAGGTAAAAACTGAGGCCAAATATGAGATATGCATAGAGCAGCACAACGGACTTTATATAAAGTGTGTTATTTCTTCAATCATATCTAGCCAAATTTGCAGGCTCAGAAGATAATTTATAAACGTAAATTTATCAAGCTGACTTAAATATGTTTTAATTGCCAAGTCTGGTGTTGTGAACGGCTGAACGGCTGTATATTCCCAAGAGTTCATAACGAAGGAAATAAAATGTTGTACTTGTACAGCTTTTCCCAGTTTAATGCCACTGTGGAACTTATGCAATTGCGGTGGAATTGCCGCCAGTTAGATGAACAAAAGACTGTCAAGGCAGCCCCACGTACATATGTATGATTATATGACACCTCGATGACGCCATTACGGTCTATTTCCATACTGAAATGGGGCTAAGCCAGTGGTAATCCCGCTCCCAGGCGCAGCATTCTTATCTAAGCCTTGGTCTACTTACCGAACTCTGGCGTTGTCGTCTCCGGACCCGCACTAAAGGCATTCACGGCAAAGAAATTATCGCCGTCATCGCCGAGCGTCAGCGGCGGCAGCAGGGCAACAACGGAAATCAGGCACAGGAGCAGGCCGTTAAGGCGCTCCCAGCCCCATTCCGCGCCCATCATTCTCCGCCGGCTGCCGCCCTGCTTCATCGGAAGTCGCAGGCCAAGGCTCTTCCGCTGATGCCCCACGTTGGGCGCCATTAATATGGTATGCCTGCTATTGCCTCTGCCGCCAGTTGTTTTTCTGGGCGTGAGCGTGGGCGTGGGCGTGGGCGTGGACTTTGCTGGTGGTGTTCTCTTTGGATTGGAGACCAAGTTGGCTTTGCAATTGTTGCTGCTCCTCTTGCTGCTGTTGGTGGTCAAACACTCAGCGTCTGTGGCCTCGTCGTCTTCGTCAGCTGGCTGCTGCTGTTGCTGTTGCTGCGTCTCACATGGTTCGCGGCTCTCGCGCCTCAGGGGCTGGCGGCCCTTGAATGTGGCAGCTCCTTGACGGGGCCGGGGCTCTAGAGCCCCATCTAATCTCATATTATTCGATCGTCGTCGTGCTCCTCATCCATGCTGCTTCGACTATATTAATTTGCACACTATTGGCGTGGCCCTCTCCTTTGGTTCTTTTTGGTTAGTTTTCCCTGTTTGTTCGCTCTGTTTCCGTCTGTTCCTGCGCTCGCCCTCGTGTCCGGTTCACATCAAAGTCTGCCACTGCAAGAAGAAGCGGATGAAATGGTGTGGGGTTAGTTGTAGTTTCGGCTGGGGGATTCAATCTGGGGACAAAGCCAGGCTAATCACTTTGCGGCGTGTGAAATTACAAACCGTTGTTGAAACAATTTCCGAAAGTGCCACCAAAAGTCTGTAACTGAAACCGAAATTGACACATAGTCGGCTCCACCCAGGACCAGGACGAAAACTGTCACAACTGTGAGGGGCGTTTTGGCCTTTTGGCACTGCAAGCCGGATTGAGTGACGGCCAATTTGTGTGTCTATGACAGTTAATTGGATTAGGCGCACCCATGGTCTCCATCAGCGAGCGGATGTGGCCGTTGTAAGTCCATTGTGGAACCGAAAATATTACCGAATTTAATTAAAACCCATTTTCCGTTATATTGTTTAATTGCATGACATGATTTGTGTTCGCTGCGGCTGCCCGGGACACGACCGAGCGATAAATAAATTGTGAATTTTAAACATGCAACGCATGTTGGGCGACAAGTGCTGCTTGTTTAGTCAGCGATTATAGGCCATGTCAGGGTTTTGTGGCCAAAAGGTGGCATTCGTCTGCATATCAGGTTGAAACATGCACTCCGGGCTTGTCAAATAGGCCAAGCTAAACACAGCTTTTCAGCACTAACAACAATCAAGCGGGAGGAATAATAGGAGCTCGCTTAAAAGCTTGCACTAAATTATTCCGGCAAGTATAAGCAGCCATTGTTATCAGCATTTTGCGGCCTACGCACTTCTAAGCGGACTTAACCACATCGATGGTCAAATAGAATGTACGGCAGTCTGTCCAAATAACCTGCATGCTAAACCACACGTTGGCCTAAATGTATACACTGCTATACATTAATAACCATCCGCTTTAAGCGAAGCTCGTCTGCTTTGAAAGCCTTAAAGTGTCCACACATCTATTTATAAAGGTTTGTCAAAAGAGTGTCAGCCGCAAGTATTTTTAGAAATTTGTCTGCGTACAAATGGTCCTTGGCAAGGAAAGTCTTTTGTCTGAGGCCATTTATATGCGTTGTAGACGTGTATGTATATGAGATCAGGGTTGTGGTTGAAGTAGTGCATTGTTGTGCAGATTTAAGCCTTTAATATATACAGCCTGTAAGCCGCATGGCGATGCCTTTAGCGCAAATGGAAAAACCTGGGCCTGCGATACGCACGAAAGTTCTATTTATAAAGATTTGCCAAAAATACTCGTTAAAGGCTAATCGCAAATGCTTTTTGGTAACATACACTCCTATGAGCAGTTCTTGACAGGCAAATGCCTTTGTTTTGGGCCTTGGTTACAGGCCAGAGGAGCCGGCTTTGGTGCTGATTTCAAAATAAATGCTTTTGGCTCCCAGAGACAGAGAGACGTTGCCAGGACTTTCCAGCCTGGCAGACACTGCAAATCCCCATTCGGCTGTAATTTATGCTCACTCGCAGCGAGTATGTGGCACAAATTCATCGGTTTAAGCCTTGTTTTGGGCCTTCTCAGTTACGAGCGAGGAGAAACTCGTAAACGCGTGAGTCACTGGTGCGCGAATGATGTACGGGAAACATGTTGCATATTTATGCCAACCTATCTGCTCGATCCCCACACGCAAAACGAGGAATTGTTTTCGTTTTTCATAAATTCATGGGTTGTCAATTGGACGATGAGTATTCATTACACGGCGTATACGCAATATATTCCATGTGACTGCCTTCAGGCTCCCCAAATTGCGACAACGCGGCTCCTGGCGGCTTAAAAGGATGGGTTTGGTGTGGTGATGTTGATGTTGATGGGACAAATGCCTGACACATGAAAGGCAGCCACGAACAGGGAAATTACAACCATGGTATCACAGCATCAGCAACAACAACAACTACAACAGCATCTGCCACAACGGATGTCGTCCCAACTTTGCGGGTACAGTGAAAGTTCACTAATCGAGCACGGCTATCCGGCAAGTTCATACGCGGCAGAGAACACAATTTGCTCACTAATTGCTAATTACTGGTGTAATGAAGTCAAATTGGAGTTCATTCCATGGCACTTCTTTGTTCACGCGTCGCCTTTGTTTGCTGGGCTTTTGTCGTTGGCAATTACACACAGTTCACTGTACTCGTAAAGACGGATTACTCATTTTCCCACTAAGAAGGTAAATTAAGTTTCTTACTTCGTCGTATTTAAATGGCAATTAAAGTAGGCACCACTCTTTTGGGTACCAGTACTCAAAATTAAATAGACAGAAATATCCACACAGTCTGAGTTTCATTCAAACTATGAATCCACTGTAGCACGTGGGCCGTATTTGTTGTGCCGCCGGCTGTACCGCATATTTTCGCACGCGGCAACGTGGCGTATGCGCAACGCAGTAAACGAGATAACCCTAATCAGGCGGAGATCGTGCTAATTAACATGACACAAGCATAAACCATAAGCCAGGTGGTCGGCTGACCCATCAACTGGGCTCCAGGATATATGGCGTCTGGTTCAATAAATACTTTTGCGCCGGAATCACCCATTGTTTTAGCGTAAGGCTCAAGGACACGCGCCCGGGGCGTAAAAGTAAGAAAATAAAACTACAAACAGTCGCTGAGAGCCAATTCAGAAATTCGTGCAATAAATTCAGCAAACAATGGCTAAGGACACACGTGTGCGTGTGTGTGTACGCGCGTGTGTGTTGTTCGAGTATTTGCAGTACCAACAATGCATAGCCAAACATGGCTAAGCCAAACAATAGGTCCTTCCACATGGAAAAGCCGTCGGAACGAGGGCAAACAGCGCCAGTCCAAGTGGGCTTGAGCTCCAGAGACGCCGCCAAAACGGAACGCACCCTGGCTAAGCGCCAGCCGGATAGATACTACATTTAGATTCAGATACAGATACAGATGAAATGCCGATACAGAAACAGGGGAACTCCCTTAACTGGGCTCACCAATTAAAAGGAACTGCGAATTTTGGCCAAAAAACCGCTTCTTCTGTGAGGATAATGGCTTTAACTTGTCCAAATTGCATCCCACAACCACAAAACGTACTATCTTCAACAACTGGGAGTCCAAATTAACGATATTTAACACTTTTTGGGTGAATTTGAAATTTTCGAATTTTGGTCAATTTTTGCATTTTTGGTAAGGGGTCACATCACAAAAATTCGAAAAAATCGTCGAAATTTTTTTATTTCAATTTTGAATGCAATTGTTTTATAGATGTTTTTAGAAGTTCATTAAAGCATTCCACGTCACTTTCCGATGAATATTTCCATTTTTATGACCAAAACACCTCTTTCCTAAGGGGTTTTTGAGCTCTAAGTTGGCCAAAATGTGACTTACAATCATAAAGCACACATATTTTTACAATTTAAGGTCTATACTAACTATAAGAAACACTTTCTGGGTGAATTTGAAATTTTCGAATTTTGGTCAATTTTTGCATTTTTGGTAAGGGGTTACATCACAAAAATTCGAAAAAATCGTCGAAATTTTTTTATTTCAATTTTGAATGCAATTGTTTTATAGATGTTTTTAGAAGTTCATTAAAGTATTCCACTGCACTTTCCGATGAATATTTCCATTTTTATGACCAAAACACCTCTTTCCTAAGGGGTTTTTGAGCTCTAAGTTGGCCAAAATGTGACTTACAATCATAAAGCACACATATTTTTACAATTAAATGTCTATACTAACTATAATAAACACTTTCTGGGTGAATTTGAAATTTTCGAATTTTGGTCAATTTTTGCATTTTTGGCAAGGGGTTACATCACAAAAATTCGAAAAAAACGGCAAAATTTTTTTTTTTAATTTTTGATTGCAATTATTTTATAAATAGCATAAGTAATTTATTAAAGTATTCCGTTTCAGTTTCAGATCAATATTTTCATTTTTAGGACCAAAATACCTATTATTTATGGGGTTTTTGAGCAATTTTTTTTACAGCTAAGGGTAATTTTGATTTTTTCAATTTTTGTAAAATGTTGCATTTTTTGTAAGGGCATGGAAATGTTTTTAAATTGATGTACGAGTTTAATAAGGTATGCCATTTCATTTTCTGATGAAAATTTCAGTTTTAATGGGCAGATTACCAATTTAAAGAGAGAAAGAAAATTATCCTTTGTATGCAGAACACAAATATATGAATAAAAACACATTGTGTTACAATACTAATGAATACGTAACAACACAATTACAATGAATACATAATTCGTTACAATTCCGCTTCAAATTAAATGGACACCTACATATGTTATTTCTGACCCAACTTTAATTTTCATAATGAGAAAACGACAGGTGCTCATTAATTGGCACATGAAAATGTGTCACTGAGGCCATGTAAACATGGAAAAACACAAATATTGGAAACCAGCGGGCGTTGGAAAAGCTCTGAGGAAATATTGGCTTAAATTGATTACTTCAACTGCCTTCCGAACGTTAAATGTCTGCGCCGTAGAAGCATCACTGTACTTGCATGCTAAATTTTATTGATTGCTGATGGAAGCAATCTAAGTGGGAAATCCGAAGAGCAGAGCCAAAATGCAGTTCGTTTCGCATATTTAAAGCGGCCCCCCATCGATTGAGGCCAGAATCTTTGCGAATGCGTGCCATTACAGCAATTATTCGCCAAGATTTATGTGCTCGGAACAAATGGCTTGGCATTTGGCACACGACCACAGACACCAAGAGAGGCAGTGACTCGCACAAAGGACCAAGCACCAAGGCACCAAAGGACCGAAGGACCAAAAGGACGAAGACGAATAACCGCACCATTGCTCTTGGCCAGCCAGCAAGACACCCACACAATGGAGGCGCCTCAATGCGGCATCGAATGGCCCCAAGATTCCGCAAAACTAATAGAATCTGCTCTCATTTTGTTTGATCCACACACACTGGCAGCGGCGAAAATAAATCCAGCTGGCGGCTACAATTCGGTGATTAAATCCATATCTCAATGTCCGAAATGAACTCGAATCGATTAAGCACAATGCATTCATCATCAATAAAAATGCCACAGCTGA